ATTCCTGGATGTGGTGGAAACACTTTGACACACAGATTTTTACAGAACTGCAATACTCTGGATGCGATATGAGAGGGGCTTATTCTTTTAACACTGTCTGCAACCACAGCTCCGTAACTTCCAGATTAAAGCCATGAGTAGAATACATCGGTTGATAAGGAGAGGTCACTTTGTGGGAAAGTGACTGGCTTGTCCTGCACACCAATTCATTATGGAAGGAGACAGAATGACTTTTAACTTCAGCCTTTACCCTTCAACTTTTCTGCTGGGAAAAAGTCATCCCACACAAATTTAGCTGACCTTTCTATCATAGGCTGCTTGACAATAAGTAGTAAGCCATGAAGTTCATTGTATCACGTTTTCCACCACATCAATCAGTATTTACAATCAACATGGATTAGGAAGAGATTTTTTTTTTTTTACACTGTTTAATAAAAGATAAGTGTTTTCCACTTACATAATTTATGTTTTGAATTAAGAAGCCTTTTATGAAGACTTCTCAATCCTCAGCCTTATTCTTGCAATTGTTATGCCCAAATCATACATTCGTAAGAAAGCTCATACTCATTTACAGAACCAAGAAGTCAACTACATTCTTACTGTTAAGAGTATCCCCACCTTTTGTTACACTCCCTGCACAGATTACACTTTTTACAGTCAAACTGGGAGATATTACAATTTCCTCTCTTCTTTTCTCCTCCCCCCCAACTCCGTTCAGTGCATTTGGATTTAAAAAAGACTGATTTGGCATAACTCAGATGCTGAAACAAAAACGTTCAAAAGCAATGGTATTTCAAAACCTTTCTGCAGATCCCAATCTCCTCACACCCAGATGTGTTTCATGAACGCATTACACAGGATCCATCTATCTATCAGTGATTGTGGAATCCTGTTTGGAAATCTCTGCAATGTGCAATGCGCTATGGTCTTCAAAATAAAGGCCTATCCTCTGCATTCATATTGAAGTATACAGCATATTCACTCCAAAGGAACTGAAGGATAAGATTGCTTATATAGGGGTTTTAATTTTCTGCCATAGATTCTGCTTTGTCAGATAACAACTGCATTCTATTCACAGAGTGGAGTTTCAGTCACTTTAATCTGGTCTGGAAACACAAAACCTCAGTTTTTCATGACAACAAATAAAACTTTACTGGTTTGTGCAAAGCTCCCTAGATAATACATGGCATTTCCAAAAGGAGTTTCATTAGCAAAACACGAAATTTCACTGGAGACGCATTGCACTGTCTTTTCGTGCAGATGGTCTTAAAAGGGAGTTTAAGAATTATTATACTGAGAGCCATTTGGTCTTGTATTCTATCTCCTACAGTGGCCAACACAAAAATCCTAAAATCATTACATAAGAATATTTTGCTTCCCTCACTGGTATCATCTTAAATTTCTAATATTTCTTCACTAGATTTATCTCTTTTGCAGAATCCAATAATGTGGAGTACTAAGTGCAGAGAAAATGAACAAAACCTTCCAAGTCTTCCCTTAACTTCTATTATACACATATAACACTCCACACTTACTGTTAAAACTGCAAGCCAAATGACTGCTTACCTTAAATCTGTCAACAGAAACAGATGCCTCAGACAGAGACTTCACTGAGAAAGGAGTTACTTTTAGAGCAAAAGTCATTGAATTAAAGACAGTGACCACTGTGAATGCCTAAAAATGAGACGAGAAAGAGAATCACATTTGAATGCAAGATACTAACAACTCCAACCTTCTAAAAGGTGAAATGTCACAGCAGCAATCCAAAGCCATGGAAAAGGACCACAGTCCAAGAATAACTACTTAAATTTTCAACATATTCTCGAATGGCAGAAACCAGCAGATCCACCCAACTCTTTCTCCTGTGCTTTGTAACAGACCAAGAGAGACATCTTCAGTATCTGGGTTTGGAAGTCTACTGAAAGCAGCAGCTAGCGAATTCTGCACTAGCCTTGAGAAGACTCAAGTTCAAATCCTGTTGCAAGACATTTGTGCTGTTTGCATCCAAGCATACTGCAAATCAAAAACATCCAGTAACCCAAATACCCTGAATAGCAAACAGGAGTGTCCATTTACATTCAGTTCCAAACCTGTTCCAGGAAGTCAAACCTGAAACAGCACTGAGAACTTTTTGCGCAAAATATCAGACTACATTTGCTGCTGTCACACCCATCAGATGTTCATTTCTGTGAGAAAGGCTACAGCCTGGCCACACAGGCACAGCCACAAAGCAAAGAACACAGTGAAGAGAAATGGCTTGTATCAATATTACAAAGATTATTTTCAACACTGCAGTAAGTTACCTGAGCTGCTGTAAGATCGTAGCCAAGGATCATGTGGACAGAAAAGGTCACCACACTGGCAATGACTACAACTATGGGAGCCACACCCACAGTGATGCTCTGGAAGTAGCCCGCACTCTCCAAGATTTTACGTTCTTCCTCACGAATTTCTAGAAATATATATTTACATTTGAAGTATGATTTGGGGGGTACATACACAACAAACACTACTATAGCATTATAAACACTAAGAGACCTAACTCTACATTTTAGCACTTACATACCACATTATATACCATCTCATCTAAAGACTACAGTTCCAGAGGAGCAAGCTATAATGCTCTGTAAATCTCCATAAGGATAGAGACCTTTTAAATTTAAAAATGGAGCAGCCAGCACATTTATGAAATGATTAAAAAATGGAACAAAAAAATTAAGATTAGTGCCAAGCAACAAACATAATTATGCTAGAAGGTGAAACTTTAGAAGCAGGTCTGTTTGTCCAAACCATCATGCATAACAAATAGGAAGCCTCAAGGATGAAAGTGTTATTACATTGTATATACATCGACATCTACGGTACTAAGCAAGGAGACACGAGGCTACTAAGCAATGGGGTGCCTGCCCAAAAGGGAACATTTACAGATTGTATGAACTCACTTTGAACATTCTGAGAAAATGGTTTGACCCAGGCATACATTTTAATGAACTTAATGTAATTAAGAACTTCATTCATCTTCTGCACACGCTCATCTGTTGTTGATACACATTTTCTTCTGAAATAAGCTGTGAGGCGTGAAACAAACATCTGAAACAAAAGGCAACACCATGCAACATTAATGGCAACTCAGAAAGAGCAAGTATGTTCAACTCATCCTAATTACCGGAGAAAGCCAATTTTGAATCTGAAAAAGGGATTCAAGGATGGGGCAAAGCAACTGTTGTTCTAACATAAAAGTCTGGAAATACTATTCATATTTTCCCACCCCATCTGCACTGAGCACTGGATTCATGATAACAAGTTTTAACAAAATAAAATTTGTGAAAATAAAGGTGTGTGCTTTTACCAACATCGAATACTACCAGATTTGTTAAAAGTTTCTGAAGCACAAAGACTCTAAACACATTAACCTAAAGACACACCATGTTGACCCTCATGGCAAATGAACAGTAGAACCCAACTTAACCAACCGTTTAACCTGGTCCCTTAAGGCAAAAGAGCAAGCTGGACTTTGCACAGACAGATCAACTTCTACCATATGCCAAAGCTATGAAGGTGGTAAAACAGTTTTAACATTTTTACTAAACCAATCTAAAAATAAGCAGTTGTTCACGTGTTCCTAAGGTTTTGCTACTCTTACATTCCTGGTCTGAAATTCAAAACCAACACAGTAATGTCTGAAGTTTTCAGCTCCTTGCCCTTCTTCATACTCCTGCAATCTCTTCTGAGTTCCCATCAATACAGAAGGACCGTAGCACAGAACTGGGAAAGATGATCCAACTCCACTCTTCATTCCCCTCTAATAAAATACTATTCACATTATTTTAATTCTTACTACTGGCCAGATAAAATGGACCAAAGTGGGCCTCACAACATTCAGCCTCCACACTTTATAAAATTTGTGTAATTTTAATAAGGAATACATTGACACATCTTAAGCAGCCTTACAGGACATCTTAGAGGCAAGAAGATTTTGGCTTGAACTAGACTATTTCAGTGCTCATCAGAAGTAGAGGCAGGATTAAGCAAGAACACACTCTCCCAGATATGGTGCTTTTCAATGTCTTTTGTTGAAATGAAGAGTGATGTGTTCACGCAACACTGAGCTCCTGTACACAAGCTGGAGGCCTTGTGTCTTTCCAACCTTGATCACAAGCACCTATCATTTTGCAATTTGATTTAGCTGTGCATCTATACATCTCAGTCAAATCTGTAAGGCTTCCTATTTCCATTTTCTAATTTATTTTGAGCTTCCTGTTTCCAAATTTCTGCTTCATACGTTGTCTTTAGAAACACCTTCAGTAACACCTTTGATGACCTGCAGCACCATAAATGGGCTAAATCTAGCACATTTCAGCACCTCCTATTAGAACTATAGGTATGTCTGACCTAATAAAAATGAAGCAAGTCTTAACTCTTTACAACTCACCATTGCTGGGTAGAAAAGGATGAAGACAGCAGAGCCCAAGAAGCCTGTTGGACCCAGAATAATCACATTATAAACCATTCCTAAGATGGCCACAATAGGGCCCCCAGCCAACAAACTGCCAACTGCTGCAGCTTCAAACATCCTTTGACCGTCATTGGAACACACATTTATGAGCTGAAAAATACACATAACAGATCATTTAGATTTATGGCACAGCTCATTCTCAAAAGAATATATCATATCCCTTTTCACATTGCAATTTCCAAAATGACACTACAGCTTACCTCTCCAAGAGACTTCTCTTTGATGTTCTTCAGCTTAAGAATTTTCTTAAATGCCATTGTCAAGACAGCTCCACGCAGTCTAACCCCCGTGCGGTAATTCAAAGCCCAGGTTAGTGCAAGGGACCAAGATCGTACCACTTCCGTCATAAAGATGCCAAAAACTAAGAACAAGCTGTACTGCAGGTTGGACTCACTCTGTTGGGTATACTCCAGAAGATGTTTCACAACAAATGCCTACAGGAAGAAATGCAAGCTTGCGTGAACACCCCATCATCCCAGAAGACCATGCAACAACTTTATGTTAAGTTAGAAATAAGTAGGCTACTTTGCTTTTAAAAGAGCCATTTGAAATAGAAAGCATCTTCTTTCTAGAAGTAAAAAGTGTCAATACAAGAAGTACTGTAATACAAAGCCCTGCTGAGAGCCAAGCACTGAATCAAATTTAGTAAGTAAATAGAGTTTAATTTGGAATCATATTCCTCGCAGCACACTTCTAATCCTCCATGTCTTCTAACTTAACATAAATCTGTCTGTCAGCTGAAAGCAATGCATTATCATATAGAAGAGTTTTAAAATATAGTCACTACTTATACATCTGCGCCCATTAAGAAACATTCCTTTACGTGACATTAAGACCTTTTTTATTTTATCTTTGGCTTGCTTCAAACGTGCTTATTTGATAAAAAGGAACAATGTACCTACAGTTGTAGAGGGGAAGAGTGAGAAGGACATTTGCAAAACATTCCTGGAAATAAACATCAGGAGTTTAATAGTAAAGAAAAAAACAAGCAGAAAGCACAAGGTACGCAATACCACAAATCATTAGGGATGGGGAGAAAAAAAAAAAAAACCAACGAAAAAAATTAACCATTTGATCCCTCCCCATACCCTCTCCCCCAAAAACATAAACACTTTACCTCAGGAATCACATTTCAAACATCACCTGCAAAAAGAGGACAGCCCCCAGAACCACTGATTCCCACCTCCAGCTCTTTGTGGTCCAGTGGCACAACATAACATCATACAACTCAATCACCAGCAATACTAATTAAATACTATTGACTGCAAAACAATAGGCTTTTATTTGAAATAAAGTGTCATCTTAAATCGTAACATCTCAAAAATACTGTACAACAAGTAAAGCATTGTATAAACATACAATCTGCACATACAGGATAATTATAAAGGACTAACAATCTAACAGTCAGTCTTAGCCTCTAACATAAGCTAGATTTGAAACTACACACAAATTATAAAGATACAGAAACAGAATAGTATTTGTTCATGAAGTCCAAAAGAAGTCAAACTTGCAGGTGCCAACAGAGGAGGCTTCTGAGGCTGCACAAATTCTGAAATCTGGTTTAAAAAGTATCCTACAATAAGGCTTCACAGACAGCAAAATATTTCCTAGAGAACTTTTCAACAAATGATGCTTTAAGATACTGGTGCTTTTGATATGCTAGTACAAAGCAGAGAATTACCTTTGCCCACAATAAAAAGCAACAAAAAAAAAAAATCTGAAACCAAAGAAAATATTTGAGAAGCCTTTCACATCATAGTCCGTTGAAGTCCTCTTGGCTAAACCAGGTTTTGCAAATAAGAGTTCTGTATAGGTTGAAGAGAGAGGAAAAACCCCAAAACCCCACTATTTCAGCAAAGGTATTGATAGCTATAGCCCAGCACCAAATAACAGAAAAAAAATGGAGATCAAATTCATCTGTTCTGAGGAAAGTAATTCTGCACATCAGAACCAAGGAAACATACTGTAAATAATTTTGCTCTTTTTCACAGCTGTGAATTAAAGCCAGATGTCCATCAGGTTCTAGAATGGCCAGAGAAAATTTACATACCGATCCCTGAACAAATGTGAGGAGCTCACATTCACAGATCTATTCCATTCCAACTTTCTCCTTAATTGGGCTTAGTTTTACATCATGTGTTTGGACCACAACTGCATACAGTTGGTTTGCAGTTACTAAGGAGATTACTGACTTCTTTTTCCCATATTCAATCCAACATATGCAACCGAGTCACTGAGCAACTGGGGTGAAAAATCCCCCTTTTTCATCACGAGCTGTAACTCAGCATGGTCGCAGAACATTTTCTCGTACACCACAGCATTGCTGAAAGTCTCCAAGAGAGGATGTATAAAGATAGCAGATGTTTCCTGGGGTCTCATTCCTCCCAAAACTTTTTAGTGCAATCTTTCAGCACTATGTTATAGATTCAGCATCTCCCGTGATGAAATAGAGACCAGCTTACATTATACCCCCATTTTTTTTTTCTCCAGAAGAAAGAAAAGAGGAAACAGCGGATTAAAGAATTTTGAAAAGGGAGGGGAAAAAGTCACACAGAATTAACATTTGCATCTGAACACATACTAGTTGAAATCAAACTAGTTTAATGACAAGAATCCAGAATAAAGTTATTTACAAAACAATAAAGTTACAGTACAAAACTAAAACTCAAGCTAATGGGGAAAAAGGAACTCCTGTGACTAATACCGTAGTAGTTGGTACTAGCTGCTCAGCTGTCTTAAGCATTCCCATTGAATAAACATTACCTTACCTTTGCTCTTGGCGTTGGCTTTGCCCAGCAGGACTGTCTCATTCTGACGCAGAAAACAGCCATCCTGAAAATTCTGAAGAACAGCTTCTGTCACTGGTCCCACTGCAGTGCCGGCATCCCTGCTGCAGCCAGCATGCGACAGCACGGGGCAGGCTGCAACTGGAGCCAACTGGGAAATCGGGAAACTTACCTCCAATAGCTTACCACTCCCCCCTCCAACAACTGACCAAACTGTCAAGCTGTACTCCATTAAGATAGCAAGTTTCCCCATCTCCCAAACAGGAAGAATAGCTCTGAACGGGTACATTGTTCAGACCTGGAGTTAAACTGATTATGTTTAGTAATCAAAAAACTTCTTTGCTCCTCAACCCAAACTTGAAAGTTTAGGTAGCTGATCAAATGACAGCATATATTCACTGGAGATAAATAGCATCTCACCTATTCTAGCACATTCTGATGGTTATTACAAGGCATTCTGACACATGCAGCTGTCTCACCAGGTTACAGGTTTGGATATTGTGCCAGATGCAGAATTTACTAAAATAAATAAAAAAAGGGGGGAGAAGGGAAAGAAAAAAAAAAAAGAAAAAAAAAGAAAAAAAAAAAAAAAAAAAAAGACCCTTGAAGGATCCATCCGATACAAAAAAAAACCCAACACACCAAAAAACCCCAGACAGGAAGACTGCCACAACTCCTTTCCAGTTATAACCATCACAATGCTCATGAGCAAAGCGGCAAAGGCACAGCTGTTGGCTGGCACTTCAAGGTCATAGACTTTCAATTAAAATTTTTGAGGTTCAATAGTGTTTAACTCCATTTTATAGTTTTCACCAATATGGAAGTCAAGTAAAGTGCTTTTTCTGATCTCCCTTTTCAGGTGACTGAAAGGGTGTCACAACACAAGAAGCACTGATACTTCTGAGGAGACAGCACAGGCATATCTATGAGGTATGCCATTTTTAAAAACAGGGAGGAGGGATGGTAAAGACTTTTTTATTCATGCCAAATGATGGAACCAAAAGGGAATTGTTCCTCACTCAGAGAAATTAATAAGGTTCCCTGTAAATGGGCAAATGTCTATAGATAATTTTAAATTAGCCAAAATCAAGCATCAAATGCAGTGGTAGCCCCCAGCCTAACCAAGTAGGTTGTTTTGCAACTTCCCCTCCTGCTTTCTCTCATTCAGCAATCAGCTGAGACAAATTGAGAAAATTACACTACAGAAATGAGGGGCAACCCTGCTGCAAGTTCTTTTCTAAAGATAAAAGCAGTTACTAAAGCCCTGTAGTGAAACAATGACAGAAGCTCTTCTTGGGGAAAGCTAGTGCTGTTAAAATCTTAATCATTATTTATGTTAATTATCAAAGTACATTCATGTATTTCATAATACAAGCTACTATAAATTACCAAGAAAACAATACCACAGAAACATTTATTGTTATTCACATTACATAAAACAAGGCAAACTTTAGAAAGTCTTAAAAAGCAGAACATTTTGATAAGACATTTAAAAGCAGGAAAACATTTTAAAAAGACATTTCACCTAACAGTGCACCCAAGTGTACTTACCCAAGAAATGAACCTTCAGCTTACCAGCACACTGAAACGTGTACTACTAGCAGTAATACTGCTCCTACTCCTCAAGGGAAATGTGTAGAGAATAAATTTAGTCAAGATTTCAACTGTAAATCTGCACAGCACGTGCAACAAACAGGTGACAAAAAATGGTGTGAATGTCAAGTCCCATATGTTGTTATCTTCAGTACGACCCACAGCAAACAGCAGCAGTTCCTAGAGGCAGTAACATCCTCTAACACTTCTCCTGTCTGACCATTCTCTGTAGGATCAGTAAAGACTATACCCACAGACTTCTTGAAAACTGCTTGCATTAGTTTTAAGTAGTGCTCTAATATAAAACTGTTTCATTCCACTTCTCGAAGACTGTGTATTAAAGTCAATAATCTAAGATTAGTATTTTATCAGACTGAATTTTATTCCAAGATACATTTACAGAATTGCAAAAAGAAAAAGAAAACAATTAGAAGACCTGCACATAAGAATTCTATGCAAAAAAGACCACAGTGAAGGAACAACTTTAAACTATACTCAAAACCAAAGAGAAAAACATGTGCATTTCCTTCAAGATACCTAAACTCCCCCACCCTTCTCCAAGAACTTGCCTCAGTATTCAGCAAGTGATCCACCAGCTGTAGGAAACCTATCTTGGATTAGCGAATCACTATGGAATTTTGCCCCAAAATTTCTAGCTAGTCAGAACATTTAAGTGACTCTGCAATGAAGCTTTCTTAAAGCTTTTACAGTTGGCCATGAGATGGAGCCCTCTGGGGTTGTTAAAAAAAGGATGGATATTACTTACTGGTCCACTAAAACCCGCGAGTTGCGTGATCATCAGACACACTATGGAAATGATGAGCCTGGTGCGGCAGAAAATCCACACAACCCTCCGGAGAGAAGCATCATCAGGCCCACTTTCTTTCAGTTCTTCCTGCCACAATCTCTCCAGCCTAATAAAAACAGAAGCCTCATGTTATGAATTTTTCACCATGTGAGAAGGTACAACCTCATAGGTACTTTTATGTGAAAATTCCAATCGCTTCCTAGCTCAGAGCAACAAAAATTACTAGACATCAAGAGAAATACATACATGGTACATTCTGTTAGGTAAAGAGAAATATCCGCATCTTGAAATTGCTATGTTGTATTACTTCTACAGAAGAAAGGTATGAAAAACACAATGCCTTTCCTTTCCTAAAGTCTCTTTGACAATCTTAATATACTGACTTGTCACAGCCTTTCCTTGCTGATCTGACAGAAGAGTTGTGGAGTCAAAACCTGAGAAAAATTCTCATTACTCATGAAAGGTTAGCCTGATCACAATATCTGACCATATTCAAATCACTTTGCTATTGTTAGTATTAATTTTAGTTATTTTAGCACAACATTTTTTCAGTGTAGCCTTAAGAACTTTGTTTTGACAAAAAATAGACATGCAAAATCAGAAAAACAATTGCTAAACACTCCTGGATGGAATCCTCTAAGTTCACTGGTATCGGCAAGAGTTCGGAAGGAGTGAAGCAGGAATAAGTGGTCTTTGAAGGATAAAACTAAATTCCACTATACTGAGAAAGACAGAACAATATATCACTGGTGCTTTTCTAGGGCAATATTGTATCACTGCCTGTGAACTAACATATGGGGGAAAAAAAAAAAAAAAAGAAAACAAGGAAATAAGGAACAAGATGTCTCTACCTTCTACAATTGACATCTGAAGACTCATGACTTGATAAAGACCATACATCATTCATAAACAATTCCCCTTTCTTGTATGCTCTGTGGGCCAAAGGAGTGAGCCAGGAGAAGGTCATGCAGGAGAAAAGCCCAGCATTATCAACAGGGTGCGCGTGTCTAAAAGGAAAAAAAAATAATCACGAATGAAAAAAGAAAACAGAACTGTAAATCCCTGAGAAAAACAAAGCCTCCTGTCATTGAAAGTACTCAGAGTACCAAATAGTCCACACCAGTCATACTTGCTAAACAAATCTGATGTTCTCAGTATCAGCCACCAGGCCTACAGCTGCAATCCTGCTTTGTGAACGGTTTGAAAAGCAAATGCTGTATCAGTTCTTTTGTAGCATAAAGACTTACTTGGAAGTAGTCCGTATGGGCTTCAGCACATTCAAGCCATGGTGGTATTTGCTCTTGTGATGCTCTTCATCCAGCATTCTCAGCTGGGAATGCACAGAGGTGTCCAGTGGCAGGCCTTCTGCCCGAGCAGCTGCTTCCAAGGCATCCTGGCATTCAATCTGCTTTTACAAGACAGACAGGAGTCAAACTTCAAAACTATGTTTAAAGTCCATGATTCCCAATTCCAGCAACTCTGCTTCTCTTTCTTCTGTAAAGTACCGCACAACAGCAATCGCTATCATTTAAACATCCTAGAGGACAGGCTTCTGCCTGGCAGCAAAGAGACGGAAGGCACATATTCTAGATCTACATTAGATTGCTGCATTTGTAAAACATTAATTAACACTAGTATTGTGCCTGTGCATTTGAAGGATAAATGGACAGACCAGACTAATCTTGCATCCTGCCACAGGTAATACAGTAGAGAAAAATTACAGAATCAACTACCTATAACATCAGTTCAGGAAATCAATGACTGGCTTATGCCATGAAATTAAGACATATATTTGTGATGAATTTACATGCTTTTAGTGTAATTTATAAATCCTTATTCACAGAAATCTCAAATAGTTTTCAGAATACTACTAAAGTTCCTTCTTCAAAAATATCTTGGATCAAAAAAGAAATACACGTTAAGCAGAATTGTACTTTCTTTTATCATGTTCCTACTTTTCTCTTTTTCCCAAACTAAAAGGAACAAAGATGACGATTTTCTCTGCTCCCTGCCACACTTCTAAACAACTCAGCAACTTTATTAAAAACCATTTAAAAGGCAATTCTTAGATCAGGGGAGTTTTTTCATGGTCCCAGTGAAAGGCAGACCTAAATGCTTATCTAAGATGAGAGAGGAAACAGCAATGATATGGAGTTAGCTAAAACATTGCAGAGTTCAAATAAACCTGTCGATCAGAAACTAGATGTGGAAAAACTATATGAAGAGATAAGCTTGCTGTCTGTACTCACGGAAGGCTCACTATTGGCTCTGCTAATTTAATAGACCATTTACTGTAGTGCCATATTACCTGTTTGTAGTCTAGTGGGGTTTTGGTTGTCTTTTGGGGTTTTTTTTTTTGTTTTTTTTTTGTTTTTTGAAAGGGAGCTACTTTGTGGGGAAAAACCCCAAGTTCTGAAGGAAAAACCTTCCTGGCAGTCTCACAGAGATACTATGTTTACCCTTATTAGCTACCCTACCAGAGCAAGTTACTTTGTTTCTTTGAAAACAGCAACTGGTTCTGACCTCAAAAAACATACTCGCTAAACCTAAAGCTATGATTACAAAATAAGATAGAGAAGTACTAAAAAAGCACAAGACTATTACAACATTATAACACATGAAGTGACTCAAAAATATGCCACACTTGCAATCTGAATTAAAACTCATTTTATATGAAATTACTAAGTCACTACGGGCAATACCGCCTTGCTAAATCCACCCAAATCAGCATTAATAAGAGACCTGCCAAAGATGTCTCAAAGGACCCAGTAGTGGTGAAAGTTCTGCACCACTGATTTTCTGCTTACAGCAGAGGAATTCATAGTTAGTTTGCTATGTTACCCTCTGCAAGAGCCCCAGGCAAATCTGCCCAAACACTCTGCTGCTGCTAAGATGCTTGTTTGTAAGTGATGCCACAGGCTATTTGCAGAAATCAGTTTTCCAGAGCACACAAAAAGTGCCTCCAAGAAAAAAAAAAAAGTCTTCAAAACATAAAACCACTGTATTTGTCAGCATAAAAAAAGTTTTTCACTACTTACAAACAAGAACAGCTTTTTAATAGGAAAGCACAATTGCAAGATACTGTATTTTTAGGCAGTCCAAAGATAATGTTCTTAGACACTCACTGTGAAAAACAATTACTCTCCAGAGCTAGTCAACAGAATTCTCTCAAAAAAGGTGGAAAAGATGCTTTGATAAAAGGCTAGGGGGCACTACCTTTGAAGTCTTGCCATATAGTTAAAGTATTAGCACAAACCCCTAGCTGAGAACATTGCTCATCTCCTGCTCAGAAAGGTTGTCAAAATCCCACATGTACAACTATCAAGAAACAAGTGCATCACACTACTGTGCAACTAAGATTCTAAGAGAGACCATACAGTTGTGTGTCATGCTAGAAAACCTTCAAAGCACAGAGTTTTACCAGGAAGAAATGAGACTCTTAAGCAGTTTTACAGTGCATTTCTACAGCAAAAGACTGAAGTACAAAATTTAGCAACAACCCCACCACTGTTCATTTAGGTTTCTGAATCCCTGTTGTTTTTTCAGGTGCTCATCAACTGCCAATAGTCTGACTGCCTGCATGCATGTACAGTTTTATTGGAAACTAAAACCTTGAAGTCATTAGCAATGTGGTGTAACAGGCTCCAGCACTGCTCTTGAAATAAATGTCTAATAAATAAAGCACTATCAAACAAATCAGCACTTTTTCTAATTCAGCAACTTATTTATACACCAATACAAGCAATGAACCAGGTGATACAACTCAGTGTTGATAACCGTAAAGATAAGCCCACAGAAACAAAGCAAGTCTAAATCAGAGATCACTAATGGCACAGCAGGGATATAATTCAGATACTTCTTGGAAAACAGCAGCTTACTATTCTGTATCATCAAAAAGGCTAAGAGACAATGAAAAATTGTTACAAAAGACACAAAGACTAAAGCAGGAAATATTAACATACCACTTAAAATCTTAGTGTTTGCCTCCTTTTTGAACAGCAGTCGGTCCCCTGTCACTTCAGTTCAATAAGGGTATTATACTTAAAATTACTCTGCAAGCAATGAAAACAGTTGGAATTGGAACAGCTTCCACACAAGCATAAATTTAAGACTTTTCAGCTGAATAGGAGAGAGGAATAAAGACCAGGTACAGGTATTTGATAGGTCCATAAAGTCATAAATGGCATGAAGAGAACTAGAGAATGATCACCAACTCTTCTTACAACAAAAGAACTGGGGACACTCAGTGAAATTAATGTTTTTCCACAAAGTACACTTAAAATCCTCTGTCATAGGATTCTGTAAAGGTCAAATACGTAAGTGGACTAAAAATGGCAGGATTAAACTCACATAGGATAAGCATATCGTGGCTTATTGTTAAATGCATAAGAGAGGGCAACAGCAACCATTTACCCAGCATCTTATTAATAGCTGATGGATTTTAAAAAAAGAAAAAAATCTGAAGCCCTGGGCAGCTCCTAACAGAAGGTAATGGTTCTGCACTCCACGTTTCATGATGCTGTGACACACCTTGGTACAGGATGATGTGATTCAACAGACGACTAGGAAAATTGACAGATGAAGAAAAACTCTTAATCCTGAGGGCAGTCCCTGAGAGTATGAAGAGTAGTGAGGAAGTACCACTACACACAATGTTGTCTTGTTCTTTTACCTCCACAGCCAGTTCACAGGCAGGCAGAGAAAGAGAAGCATGGCTGGTGCTGCTACCACAGAGCACACCTGCCCCCCCCGACATTCTGCAACTTCAGAGAGCAACAAAACCCTACCAGCACCCATTATGATGTCTTGTCTAACAAACATATTTCTCATAGCAATAGTGAGCACACAAGATAATGCAAGAGCCAGAAAGATAACATGGTTGGCTCATGACGGAAGGTCTGGGGAGGTAAGGAAAATAAGTAATTTAAGGGCAAGGAAAAGGATTTGGTCATTAAATTTAAGACAGCAATACCAAATTCACAATCTGCATACCAAGGTCAGGTGAGAAGGCCATGAAAATACTGAAAATTTAGGAGCCAAGCTACAACGTTATCAAATACACACAGTGTCAGAGGTTAGCAAGATGAAAGTTCTGTAGGAAGCAAGAGGGGCATCATGAACATTATGCAGAAAGGCAAGCAAACTCACATATGCGAAATAAAAGGACACTTCTGAAAACCTGCTAAGCCGACAACATGGGCATTTATCTCTGAGGATGAGGAGTGGGTGAAGGGAAAGGAGGCAGCTGTGTTGTATGTAGGAAGAAATTGAAAGAAAAAAAATCTTAAAAGTGAGATCCAAGGCAATCTCATATTTACAGAGAAGGTACCAACTTATTGGTTTGACAACAGTAACATCAGATGATAACAGCAAAACCAGACAAGTCCGGAGGCAAAGTAAAATAGACTTCTTTTTTTTTTTTACATCTCTTATCTTAAAAAATTTAATGTATATGCTGCCAACATATGAGCCAAACCCCACCCACCAAACAAGTACTGTCTTCTTCCTCCATAAAGCAGAATATCTTCCAGGGCTCAGATCACCGCAAGGAAGAAAGTCCATCTCTTCTAGTGCTACTGCTACCTGACAGGAAACTAGAGCAGAGTAGACATAAAGTCTTTTTTTATTAATTCTTGCAGCTGATACAGAATACAAAAGCTACTGTGGTTGAACTATTATTATGTAAAGATAAGATTGCTTTATTTAAGTAGTAAAGAACTCTGAGTTAGCACCACTGCTGAACAGGAACTCCCACCTCTTGCATTTAGAAGGCAGAGCTCAGCAGGCTTCACATTCTTTTGTTCAAGTCCCCCATAAGGAGAGGCAAATGGGAAACAAACCAGCACAACAGAGCTCAGGACTAGGTGGGCACATGGGAAGAAGAACAACTACATGATCACCAGTTCTGCTCAGTGCTTAAAGCATTCTCTTATTACAAGTCTGGGATGAACAGCAATTTTGAAGTATTTAAGAGTTTTCATTAAAGGACTGGTGTTTCAAAACAAGATTAGTTATTAGTTGGTATGGGCTGGGGAAGAATAGGATCAACTGTTCCAGTTAGCTTAAGTATAATTAAACCAAAACAAATCAAGAGTCTATGAAGAGATAACTTGAAAGTTGTAATTACATCCTTCTTCCCAGAAATTCCTCCAAGTCTTTCCAAGAATAACCCCACTTGAAAGTAGTTAGGCAGTGGCAGTAGTAGTTAGGCTTTCACACATAGCACAGGCAACCCCTAAAGCCCTGTTGTCCAAAATTCCATAACCTACCAACCCCAGGAGCACCTAAAAACTAGGTAGGTTTGCAGTTCCAAACATTGTCAAATCTGCTGTTGCTTGGTGAAGTAACAAGTGCTCAATGAACTTTATATTCACTAAGGCAATTTTCCTCTTCTCCTTTCACTGG